ACGCGATGGAACCGTTTAAAAATTTAATTTAGTCATTTATCCCAAATTTTGCCCACCAAAAGACATGTCGAATTAAAATGAAACGAAGTATATAGATACCAAGTGAAAGGTTTCGTTGAGAAGACTACGATATAAGAAATATTACTTCGTCTGTAATATTTTAAATATTTAATAACACAAAGAAGTCAGAAAACAATGATACGGTAATAGAAATGATGCAAGGGTAAAAAAAAAGAAATTTTATACTCCGTCAATCATACTATTGAAAAATATTAGATACATATTTCTTGTTCGCTTAAATTTAACAAAAATAGCTTAGATACATATATTGAAGTTGAGGGGTGGGAGGGCGTCACAGTTATGTGGAAAATGTACAAAAGTGTGTCGTCATGTGACAATTTAACTCAATGAAACACTGTAATTTATTGATTACGTAAAAATTTTAAAAATATGCTCTTTAATAAGTTATCTTATCAGAGAGACAAAAAAAATTTCATCATGCCTACATAGTTTTGTTTGATCTTTATTTATAACAATGGCAAAAAATCACAAATATTTTTAATGTCAATAATATTCTTTATAATTTCCTTAACGAGATGATCTTTCATTTATGTATAAGCTTTCTTTTTTTAAAGTTTTTTACAGCAGCTTTATTTCTGTCGCCATTGGAGTTCATCAAAATTGAACTAAAGCAACCACAACAAATATAAGTAAATAAAAATCCAATAAAAAACACCCCCATTGAGTTTCTTTTAAAAAGTTAAAGCAAACAAACTGCTGTATTAGCTTAGTGAACTAATCAAACACTAGTAACTGCCCTCGGGGCTGCTTGATGAATTTTAAACAACAATCGTCAAATAGACGGACAGATAAATAGACAGCGAGGCAATTAGCCCGCGGCTACTGTTCTCTGGATATGTGTTACCACGTGTTTGATATCATGTTGTGTTTATATCATATCAAAGTATGGTCAATTCGAATATATCTTTATTACGTTTACGATAAAGTAGAGCAATCTAAGAAGGTTCACTGATTTTGGGTATTCGATAACTAAGAAAGCAACCGAAATGCAGGACTTATTCCTTTGTCTGATTGGTCACCACTCTCAAATAAATGTATTTATATTGTAAGTTATCATTCTACCTTTATGGTCAATTAACGTATTTTCTTTCTTTCTTTGTCATAGTAAGTTATAGTAGTTCTAGGTCACCAACAGAAGACATTGTTTTTGAAATTCTTCTATTCATTAACAACAACAAATTTCCAAATTCCATTTTCAAAACTTTCTTGACGTCTAATAGTTTGCCATTAGAGGGACCATTTCAATTTATGGATTATCATAAACTCAAGCTTATTATTATTACATGTGTCACCATGATTGGATTCTTTCGTAGAGGGGAGTTAACCGAAATTCGGTGAATGTGCGGGATTAGCGGTGACATTCGGTGGCTTGCAAAATTGCGGTGTAAACTAATGGAGCTGCGATCTAGAAGGGAGATATGACAAAACACAACATTTTAGCACCGTCCTTTTAATTTGAGTAGTTCGATTAGATCTGCAGATACTGATTATTTAATAAAACATAACGTTATGGATTTATGGTTTACATCATGCTTTTCAAAATCTTGACTGAGAATTATCGATTCGAGTTCAAGAATTTACAATCTTTTTATGTTATTAGTTTTAAAAGTACACTTATTATGTTCTCTTTTGACTATAAACTACCAAACCAGAATACAATACTAATAGTTATATTGAAAGGATAAAGGAATTCAACCGTTGAGTCAATGGCATAAGGACTATAGATTTCTACACGGCACTGAATATATTTAAGTCAGCCTATGACCATGATAATCCATTGGTCTTGGTTGTATTGACATTGGATGCGGCTGTTATGTCCACATTATTTGGGGTGCATTGAGTCGCTATACCGTTTAATGTAAATAATCAAGAATTCGTAATTAATGTTATATATGTTTTACTTTTTGGGTAGGAAAGATTTCAGAAAAATCAAGTAAACAAAGGTAATAATAAAACTTGGGACCCAGATTACCTCCTGGTAGTACTGACTATAGTGAATTGAAAAATTTACCAGACACATTTGAATTTTAAAAATTCTGTTTATTTTGAACTTACATTATATGTTATAAGTAATAATTATATCTAGTAATGTCACTTTGGTGCGGTCACGGTGCGGTAGCATTGATAGTTTTTTTTTTGTATAATGTTAATTTTCTTTTAAGGATTTCATTCAAGTGTTTCATTTACCAAATAAATGAATTTAATTTGATTTGTTACCTCCGATGTTCCAGATTTCGATTAAGCAAGTGTTTTATCTATTTTATTTTGAATCTGAGCAATGAAAGTATAATGTAATGTTCTCTTATATCATTTTTGCCAGTAACCTCAGTGTTTTTCTATATGATAATGATATTTTCCAAGGCGTGTTTATTACTGAAATAATATTCCACTAATATACTACTCAATCATTGATTTTCGAATAATAGCAAAAAGTTATAACGAAATGGTACCTATATACTTTAGTTAGATGTAAATAAACGTTATTAAAATATGTATTGAATTTTTTATTACAACCCGAAAAAACTTTTTCTTTAACCTATTAAATGTGAAACATTATTTTGTTTATTAGGTACTAATAAACGGTAAACGATTTCTTGGTATTTCTGTGAGGTTTCTTTCAGTGAGCTCGTGAGGTACCCAAATATCCAACTTTTTGTATTTCAAATTTTCAAATGCGCAAAAACTGATTTGTAGTAAATCTTGCTTCACTATTTCAAAAATGGCATCCATTTTCCGTAAAGGGACGACCGGAGCAACGCGCATTTTTGACAACAAAATTGGCGGACTAAAAATGCTTAAACCCAATTTATAGTAAAGTAACTTCACATTTTTTTTCATACACGTCACATGTTTTTTTTGTTGCTTGCGTTACTTTTTTGTCTTATTTGTAATAAAATTTTAAAATGTATCGAATTTCAACCTTATATTCATTTTGACAGTAAGAAAAACAAATGTATCATACATTTTCTGCATTTGAATTCGGAGTTATTTTCTTTAAAATTTAATAACACCAAAACTAGCCAGATACAAATGGCATAGCCAGAAAGATTTTATTACAAGTTTAAGGATACTATCATGAATCTAATATAATATTACGAAACAGTTGCTGTTCCGCGGATTCGTCCTCTTAATTTGAAGCCTCTGTCACCCGAGTTTGATGTAGCTTTCGGTAGGTGAACGATTTATTTAAATTGGTCCAGCAGTTTCGGAGCCTTTTGAATGCCAACTAAGAAATGATTAGATCTTTCTTTTAACTCAACTTACTATACCTTAACTTTTAAAATTAATGTTTTCCAGTAACACTAAAAACTATTTCGTCAATTCAAAGTATGGCGGAAGTTAATTTCCTCTGTATTACACATTTGGGCCACACGCATGCGCCACTTATGTATAATTGTGCGTGACGAAAACGCAGATTTTGGTTTAATTAATAATGATTTCACAGTTGTCATTGTGCTATTTTAAGTTTTAATTCCTATTAAAAAGTTTGGCTGCGTAATGTTCTATTTCATGATTTTTTTATTTAAATACATGCTAAAATTACTTGTGAAATATTCTTAGAACCACGTATATGTAGCCTGTGTTGATTAACTAATTAATTATCGTAACGCGTAATTATTTATTAATATAAGAACGGCCGAAAACGACTCTTAGGCATAGAGTTCCGTATAATAAATATTACATTTTTAAAACCATAGATCTTCTTTTACAAAACTATTTATCTTGCGATTACTAATGTAAACAGTTACTTGATGTCTTGTGTCATACAATATACTCATAGCTTGCGAAACTTTTATTTTTTTTATAATTTTCTAATTCACCCCCATTTAACCTGTAAGGTTGCTTTTTGGTCAACAACATGTATGTGTACTTTTAAGCTCTATGGCGCAGTATCAGTAGTTCCAGTATTATTATTCATATACATTCCACTGTCTAGTTGCATTGTATGTTTTCTTGAAATCATTATGTTTTAAATAATTTGGTTTCACCACAAAAACCTTTATCAATGACTGTACGATCTTATATAAAAAATAGTAGTTTCTTATTTCGTTTGATTGTAGGGGTTAAACTTAGGAAATATTTACCTGATCATGAAAATTCTTTCACCTACAAAAAGCCACATCATCCGCGAATGACATAGATTGTAATAACGCAGATGAAGAAGGAGGAAGACAGCTAGTTACCTATATTTTGAATGAAAAACATTTTATAAATACATATTGCATTCTAGCATTATCTTTAAAATAATAATCACTTGTTATTAAGAAACTTAATCCATCTTTTCAAATTTTGATAAAAATCTTGGTTTTTCACGTTATTTGTGAATATTAGTATTAATATTTACGGTATTTCTAGAGATGTTATAATTTTCATTTATATTTATCCATTAAGAAAAATTAGACTTAGGTTTAAAGATTGTTTAGTAGTCAATAATCTATAACACACGATATCAATAATAATATTATCATTGAAAAGTATATATGACATACTGCACAAACTTGGCATTCTACAAATCATAGTTAAAACCATAATCATTCATCGGTTCGATGTTCCGTAATAACGTCTATACAAAACTACATGACACCCAAATCATTGGAGCAAACACAGACGTCCAACAAAACAACCCGTAACGAATTTCCAAAGTAAACATTAGTTTTCGTAACTCGACCCAAAAACGGGTGCCCCTATGAATTTACCATTGGCCTAGTGTAACTATGGAATTAACAACCTTATTTCAATCAGCTATAGTTTAGGATTCTCTACACATGATGCAGGGTGAGAGTGGCAGCATTCAAAAGATTTCGAACAATGCGCTTGCACAGGGGTGCGCCTAACATTCACAACTTTTCGCTCTTTAGCCACCATTGTTCCAATTTGATTTATATTCATGATTTTTGCTTTTATTATTATCCACTGTTAAATCAAGTGCGAATCTAGTTCATATTTAAACGAATTCAACGGAATTATTGTGAGTAATTGAAAAATCAGAAAATTCTAGCGAAACAAATTTCTCTAAATACAATATGCTTTTTATCTATGAAGGTCAAATAAAAAGAGAAAAATATAAAACATATTTTATTTGATCAGTACAAAAATGACTAGTGTATAAACTTTGGTACGTACAACTTAAAATAATACTAGGTCTTATTGTCTTATAAAATTCATTATAATATCCCTATGTTTTTTTAAATACAGTAAATGTAAAATATCTTACATGACATGACTAGCTTTGAATGTACAAAATGTATTATTATAATAGGCATGATGAGTAAAAAATAAATTCTATTCAGTTCGTCAGTCAGATAACAGAAATGTACTCGAAATGTATTTATTTTTATCTGCTTCAATTTAATAAATGCCTATTATCTAAGCCATAATTTAATAAATGGCTTAGATAATAGGCATTAATGTTGAGAAGTTGAGGCTTGTTATGTTACAACTATGTAGAAAATGCACAAAGACGTGATCCATGCCACATTTCAACTCGATATTATGTAATTTATTAATTACGCAAAAAATAAGAATATGAATTCTTCAGTAATTTATCTGACGAACAAACAAAATAAAAATTTGTTACCATCCATATTATATAAATTTTACTCATATTTGAGCATTTAAAATACTAGAAGGTCTATTATAAAAATCTTTATATCTTTGGTTATAATAATAACTACTCTGTGAGTAATTCACATCTGTCCCATAATATTGTTTATCAGTCTGCAAATAAGCGTTATTATTAAAATTATTATAGTTTGACGTAAGCTCGTTTGCCTTTGGATATTTTCTGTTCTTAGCAGTTTCAAAAGCATTCTTGAAAAGTTCGTAATTTGTTTGGTTGAAATAGCCTTCATTATTGACAGGCACGTTGGACTCGTATGAGTCATTAAAGTTATTACAAGTTCCAAAACTCCTTTCTTGATAAAAATTTTGATGATTGATGTCATCTCCAAAACTTGAAGGGTGTGTAAAGAAACCACTGCCTGTAGTTGACGTAATACAGTTGCCTCCTTTATTATTTACTGATACAGTAACATTGCCTACGTTTATCAGAACACCCTCAGATGTCTGCATAAAGTTGGAGCCATTAGGAAATGGCTTACTAAAACCTTGGAAGTTCCTGTAACTACCATCATTGTTATATTCGTCACATTTATTTGGTACCAAAAACATATCTCTAAATGCATCTTTTGCTATCTTTTCTCCTGCTATAGAATATTGTTGTAGTTTTTCGTAATTTAAAGCGTAACCTTCCGATGGTATATTACCAGAATTAAGGTTGTCTAGCGATTCTAATGTTTGGCTTAAAGCAAAAATATAGTTATGAGCAAATCTTAGAGTCTCAATTTTTGTTAGTTTTGTATCTTCTGGGAATGTTGGCAGTACACATCTTAGTCTGTCTAATGCCTCGTTCAACATGTGCATTCTATTTCTTTCTCTATCATTGGCTTTCATCCTTCTGTTCCGCTTTATCCTCATGATCTGGGTAGGGCTCTTACATCTGGTTACTCTGTTTTTTCCATTTGCATATTTCCTTTTTGGCTTGGTCGTGTCTTTAGGTTTCTTAGCTTTTATTGGTGTCGATGTATTATCCATTGTATTAACATTATCTTCAAACGATTTAATATCTAATGGTTCATGCAACTGAAATTCGTAATCATCATCGAACAGTTTTCTTCGCACATTAATAGCTTGTTTATTCGGTGTAAGAGAAATTCCAAGGTCAGATGTATCATGTTTCAATGGAGTGTTGTTTATAGAAGTCGGTGTCGCTAGAGCATCTCCGTAGGATCTATCGATGCCCGAATCATTGCTGCAGATACTGTCGTTGAAGTCACAATATTCTTCGAAGTCTGTACCAAACATTGTCGCGAGAAATCTGAAACAATAATAAAAAGAATTAAGTATATACACAAAAATAAGTAAAGGTTGTTGTTGGTCTGATTTGGTTTTGGGAAATCTAACCCTAAATCGGTGGAGTGGAGTATACATATATTTCTTAAGGGATTACAATTTCAAAGCTGACAAATAAAAGTTGTATAACCTCATTAAGTTTAAAAAGACATAAGTTTTACTTAACTTGTGTTATTTAGACTCAAAACGGACATATTTTTAAAAACTAATATTCAGACATTTTCTTTGATAAAAAAAACATCTTTTTTAATAAAGTACTAGCGCGATCTGTTGGTGATAAAAGCTGATGAAACAATCGACGGAAACTAACTTTATTCAAACAAAAACTAACTTCACAATTATAACATGTTTGCCATCAACCCCAATACACCCTTGTGTTTGATTTAGCTCAATTATATCAGTACGACAGGTGACCACCTCTAGATCGCGTGACCGGCTGTTACGGAAAGTCAGTTGAACTTTATCACTTCCGACTTCCGGTCGGCGGTTCCGATTTGGGGCGGTAGAGTGTGTTGTTATTATTATTATCATAGAAATTGGATGTTATTCTGTGCACATATTGCCATATTATATTACTCTTTAACAAAGGACAGAGAACCGATTTTATTTAAGAATCTGTTATACAGAAAATGATTATAAACATATAGATACTGCTATTAGCCTATTTCAATAATCTAATAAATAAACGAAAAAGAAACTTTTTTAGTTCATATTGCTTCATATACTATTTTTTTTAATTCATTTAATTCAGTATTATATTTTGAATCTAATACTGTATATATGCTAAAAATAACCAACGTATTCTAATCCAAATGAAATTTTAAGTAGAGAAGTATATTTAATGATGCGTGTAAAAATATAGTTGGGAAATTACAAGGACATCCTGGCGTCTTTTATGAGCAGACAGTCGAATGCAACACAGTCAAGGCAATGCTTCAATGAAAAACTATATTGCTTTTTGGGGTTATTTGATTGAACCTTTTTGATGTGGTAGCGCTCCGTTCTACGCCGAGTTTGAGGCTGTTTTTAAGACAGTAAAGTTGTTAAAATATTAAACATGTTCACTTAATTATAGAACATTTAACTCTCCATTTGATTTCGATCCGTTTGTCGAATGAAGTGTACACCATAATTGTGCGCGGGCGTGACGGCATATCGGCACGCGCTCGGCACGCGATACTCATTTGTTTGTAATATACTTGCAACCACTGGCACACCGGGCATATTTAGCCGACTTCGAAACAAAAAGGAGGTGGTTGTCGATCCATCTGTAGTTATATTATAAAGGTAAAGCTTCTAACTTCATTTGTTTTTTATAAGGGCTAATCTTCGGAAACACTGATCCGATCATGAAAATTCTTCCACTTACGGGAAGCTACATACTATAAATTTGGATATGCGGGAAAAAACTGGTCTATATACCTATTTAAGTACGTTATGCCACAACTTCCTTATTTATGGACCGATTCTGATTATTAACTATAAAATAAGTATCGTTCTTTATTCTTTTTTTTAAGGAGTAGATTCTCAAATTGTTTGTTCGGCTATAATTTTGTGGCTTATGAACAGATTTAAAGGTATTTTTTTTGATGGAGAGATAGAGATACTTGCGAAATAGACCCATGACATTTTATCAAAATTTATTAAGCTATTTCGTATTTATAAAAAATATGAATTAGATAATAAATTTATGTAAATGTGTACTTTTACATTAGTAGTATGTCGTTTAACTATTCACGAACTATAACATATTTACTATTTTACTTTATAAAGTAAAAATGTGACATTGTAATATTGTTTTTAATTTGTTAACAGAATACTATTTGAATTTTAATAATTTATTATACTGAACAATGTTCATGTGCCCCAGTAAAAGCGGAAGAATATGGGATGTGAAAAGAAAATCCCCCGAAGAAAATCTTCTAGCAAAACTTTATAACAAACAAATTCGATATCAATGGGGAATCATAGAAGTTCGTGCGACTAGAAAATTAGCCTAATTACAATAACATGAACTATAAATCGGTCAAAAAAGCCAAAATCAATGTCAAAACGAAACTGAATAAAAATGAACAATTAAAATTGGAAAAATACTCGGTACGAGTTCGTTTACGTTTTGATCGGTTACGGAAGAAGTAATTAGTCCAATCCGCATTGGGCCAGCGTGGAGGGTCATGGCCCATCCTCCTTAACCATCCATAAGGAAGGCCTGAGCCCCTGCAGTGGGGACGTAAAAGGGCTGATGATGATGAAGTATTCATAGCTGTACACATTTCACAAAACTCCATTGAACTGTATATATGATAAATTATAAAAATCTACTGACACTAATTATGCCGAGTACAATGATGGCATGTAGTAATTAGCATACTGACTCAAGCATGGCGATAAACATAATGAAATTGATAGCAATGGTGTGTCACTTCACCTACAAGGAATCTCAACAATATTATTTTAATTTTGACAAAAACAGCGAAGTGATAAGTTTTTTATGCAAAGCTGCGCACAGGGGCGGATCTACCTACGGACTTCACGGCTGATAAAGGCCCCAACTCTAATTAAAAACAGTATATGACACTTGTTTTTAAATAATCACAAACTGAAAGGCAGTTGTCCCTATAAGGCCATCTCCACAATTTCCCGTTAATAAAGCTCGAAGCTCGATTTTATCCGAAGGAAAAGCATGCACCCTAACTACTACATTGCTATCCTATTATGAAACAGTCTTGAAATCGACAACGAACACAGTGATGTGACATGATAGTGCTTCAATGAAATATAACTTTATTACTTAACAGAATAGCATAGCTGATGGCGAAGGTAGGTAGGTACAAGCTCCCGCAGAAGGCGACTCCTATTCTCACTCGAGAGGAGTCCCAGCACGGCGGAAGAAACCGAACCCTATCCTAGGATACTGGGTTCTTCCTATCCGCGTCAGGTGAACCGCAGCGGGTTTTACCAGGTAGGACTTCCACACTAACCCACCCTTTTCAAGGCGGGGTGGAAGAGGAGACCTAGTTTAAGGCTTAAGGTGCATTTCCCCAGCGTTAACAAAAAAAAGGTAGGTACAAGCCACGTGCCGACGGGTAGGCGGCACGCGTCGGAAAACTGTAGTAGGAACTTTAGTGTTACTTCTTATTATTCGACTAATCATGGTTGTTTATTGTAACCTGCCATTATCTGAAGATATTAGAGACTATAATTATATATTTTATATTATTTTTAAAGATATTAGAGATAACGTATAAAAATAAGGATTTGTGTCCTATTCATTGCTACCTTGAGATATTTGTACTAATCACAAAGTCTAGATATTTTTTTGGTTACTGTTGTTAGGCAAGAAATCTTTTAAAACGTCAAACACTTTTTATGCATCATTAAGTATCTTTTTACTGACAAGAATTGGCGAAAAATACTTATCAGCTCTTAATAGTAGCAGATTTTACATAAACTTATTATCAAATCAATGCCAATTGGCTTAGAACAAAGCGACGGCTATAATATAATAAATGGTTGTTTTCACTAAACTTAGGAGTCGCCTAAAGTTGTCGTTAAGAACTACCTAACGACATAATGCAATTCCTAATGCATATTATGACATGCATTATGCGGCGGCTTGCGCTAGGTATTGGTTACATGATAAAAAGCTGGTAAGTTTCTTTCGCTTGTTCTTCTTGTCAGCTAAAAAACGTCCTGAAGAAGTGGTAGGGGAAAAAAATTTTTTTGGACGATTCAAAAGTGCTTGTAATAGCCTACTTGAATAAAGATATTTTCATTTCATTTCATTTCATATTTGCGTAATATAACAGATCACAAAAGTATCAAGAGATAAAAAAACTATTTGTTTATTTGGATTTAAACTAAGCTGCTTAGGTGATTTGTACGATTCGCGTTAAGCTATGCCTAATTCTAGGTTATTGAAAACGTGTATAAGTCTCTTTTATTTTAGGATATGTACGTAAGCAATTTATTAAGAACTACAAATGAAAAAGAGAGTAGAGCCATTTGAGTTATGATGCCGTCAAAGGATGAAAAGGCTTATCTGTACAGAATCGAAATCCAGTGAAGAAGAATTGAGAATAAAGAGAATGATCAATGAGAAGAACCGGCTTTTATATGCTATAAAAAAGAAAACATAAAAAGAAGAAAAACGTAAAAAGCTAGGACATTTCTGGAAGAAAACAAACTGGAAGGAAGTCAAGCGAGTAAGCGGGAGACAAAGTAGAAAATATATGTACTCAACACTCAACAACTGAACAACTGAAAGAGAAAGTAGGATAAAGACAGGAGAGGCATGTATCGTTCACCGGCAAGAACTAACGTCTTAAATGACTATCAATTAAATTTTAAGTATCAAGATATAAAAAGTATAAAGTTAGAAAAAAAAGTCCATAACTTATTCCACATTACTTAGTGTTTATTCAAATTTATCAAATCTAAGTACCAACTTTGGTACTAGCAGTTCGGTGGTACTTTGTTTCATATAAATTTAATCATTACTATAATAAAATAAACAAAATGTAACGTAACTTATTGTAAGTAAACATTTGACAGTAAGAAACTTACCTTTAAAAAACCGGAGGCACTTTATCGATATGTTATAAAAATATGAATATAAACACTATACACTACGATCACAACACATGACACATTATACTTATAACTATTTTATCCATGACTAGATTCCGGGACCACAGTGCAGTGCGCCTGCGCGGTGTGCACTGTGGGCTGGAACATTGCTCACCCTGTTTTATTCCTACACCACTCCAGTGGGTCAGGCACTTGAAAGGATACGCCCATTTATAGTTTTGAAGTTAAAATAAGCCGGTTTATTACATATTAATATTGATGAACTTGTTCTTTACCTATTTTTATTTATTGAACAATCGAGATAACTTTGTTTTAGAAACAAACCTTCAGATATTTGGTTTCTTTGTTTTAAGAATTTAAAAAAATATAACGTATAAATTATTGCAAATTTTTCACTAAATTAAATTAAAGTTAAAACTAATATTGTGGGTGCAAAGTTATATGATAGATTAAGTATAAGCAGCTATAACTACTATTTCAACAAAAGCCATAAGATGTATTATAACCATTAAAATACGGCACATTTATTTGAATGACCAGTGATACATACGTACATATTTATTTCTATATAGTTAACAACAACATAGGTACTCTTTGGTATGACTTCCTGTTAAAGAGGTTAACCCACAAAACACAGAAAGATGTGGGTATCCAAGTTCAGTTACATGATTTTGTTTTTCTATCTAAGAACTTTTAGCCTTTCGATTTCTATCATAAAGACATTCAAAGCCATAATAAATTTA